ATATGTACTATATGTTTTATGTAGGAGCTCTGGTAGCATAGTGCCTAAGGCACTTGACTGCTAACCAGAAGGCTGGCTGTTAAAATCCACCAGCCACTCCTCGGAAGGAAGGTTGGGCAATCTACTTCCGTACTGATACTGCCTCGGAAAACCAAGGAGGGGTCACTTTGCTCAGCGGCACATAACAACAATAACATATATATTTTATATATATATGTTTATGCATATGTATATATATTATATATACATATGCATATATACATAAATACATACACAAAATACATGAGCAAAGGGCCAATAGATTGGTTAAAAATAAAAATTGATTACAATATGGAAGAGAAGGAATAGACTGATGAACAAAGTATCTTGGCACTTTATATTTAGGGACTAAATTTGGCATTATTTGTCAAGATGTGGTAGATTGGGGACATGCTCTGTTTCTGATCAACTCATTCCTAACATTTTCCACCAGAGTAAAAAGAATTTTAATGAGGAGAGTGTATATTCATATTCTAAATATTTCAGTAATTTTAAACAAAGCATCCTTAACTGAATGTTTTCATAGGAGAAATTAAGAAAAAGTTACCCTAACAGAAATGACCATTTCCAGGGAAACTTCATAATGAAGTGCGAAAAAACAGCAGATGAACATGACTCTACAAGGCATGGACCCACAGACAATCTTAGACAAACTTTTTTCAAATTTTTCAAAGCCTGAAATGTAAAAATAATCACATTTAGATAAACTTACAATGACCTATAAGAAATTACAAAGTATTGAAATATATATATTTTTTGGAATAATTATCTTTTACTAAACAATATTTCATTGGCTAGATTGCCCTATTGGGCTTAAAACTCTAGTATAGCCCATTTTATATGTCAAAATAGATTGGGTTACAAATGAATTCATAGTTATCAAATGTATTCTAATTATAAAAAATGATCTATTTATGAATAAATAGTTATCTCTAACTTCTTCTTAGTAAATAGGATTGTTGTTGTTGTTGTTATGTGCTGTCGAGTCAAACCCGACTCATAGTGACCCCTCCTTGGGTTTCCGAGGCAGTATCACTACGGAAATAGGATTGCCCAACCTTCCTTCCGAGGAGTGGCTGGTAGGTTTGAACCGCCAGCCGTCTGGTTAGCAGGCAAGTGTCTTAGCCACTATGCTACCAGTAAATAGGATAGTGATAGTATTATATAAGTTTATTTTCATCAGTTAACTTTTAGAGATGAGCTGTTTGATTAATTTAATAATCATAAATAGAAAACATCAAAATGTCAAAAAAGAAAATAACTTTAAAAAGTATATGGTTAGTGAAAAGAGAAAACATTTAAAACTTCTCATTGGTATAAATTTTCAACTAGAAAATATAGTAAATTGTCATTGGCCAGAATTATTTATGCTTTTACAATATTTCATTGAACATCTACATTTACCATATTTATTTAAATAGCTCTGATATTCATAAATAGTCATCTTTTTAAAACCCCAATTGATTCACAATTCTTAGTTGGAAATATTTTAAGGAATATTTAAAAATATTAGCTTTTACAAAAGTGCAAACATAATCAGTAATATAATTCTGTGGATAAAAATTCATGAAGCAAAAATATTTTTGAAATTCTTAATCTCTCTGAAAACAGACAGACAAAAATGTTTTATGGGGTGACTTTATCCTTTGCTAACTGAAAGGTAAATAGCGCTCCACGAAGGAGCCACAAACTCCCAAATAATACAGGTGTTACGTAAGTAACATTTATCTTTAAGCAAATAATTAAAGACAATCTCTAATAGAGAACTTATATTACAGTGATTCTCTTCATATTAGTAATAATGGTGACCAGAAGTAGAAATTAAGATGCCATATTTCTACAAAATCTTTTTTATCTCAGTTTTGCTTACAGACTTCATTTGGAATAAATATGACAAAAATACTATCTCTTTTCCTTCAGACTCTAATATATAAAATTACTCTATTGAAGTTATAATTGAAAATCTACCTGTGGATCAAGTCCGAGCCCAGCTCGTATTAGGATAACGGTAAGGGCAGTGTTTCTTAAATTTGAAGACCACTTGCTATTAATGCGGATGTACTGACTGCAGAATGGAATATTCCTGAGAGTAAAACCAGCCAGTAACATCCCTTTAAACAAAGAAAATAAGGCACAGTTGATTCAGTTCATTTTTCCAAGAAAGAAAATAGCAATGCTTAATGTTCCTCCTCAAAAACACTATGTTTGTCATTACTTTGGTGAAGGACAGGTTACATAAAAGTAGAGAAGGCAGCATGAATAAAAGTATGGAGATAACAAATGATGTATCTAAATGTGCTAGGAAAAAAAAAAAAAAAAAGCAATTCAGTGCTGCTGGACCATAAAGGGCAAGGATGGGTGTGGAGAGAATGAGCTGGAGGGGCCAGATCATGGAAAGCCTTTCTTTGCTCCTTTGGTGCAGTAAGGTACCATATAAAAGTTTTAGGAAGGGAGTGATTTAGAGAGTTTTGCATTTTAAATGTGATAGTGTTGGTGAATTAGTAGGGAAAAAACTGAACACAGACCAGTTAGAAGGCTCTGCATAGTACACGCATGAGTTGGAAACAGACTAAGCTAGGGCAGAAGTAGAAGTTTTGGAGGGGAAGAAATGGATTCATTGACAACTTAGGAAGTGCTGCAAGAGTGTTATGGACATAGAAAGGGTGTTAGAGAAAAATGGAGAGAGATTATCTTGGTGTCTCTATTGACAATGTACTGATACTTGGATGTACTGCGTAGTTAGAAGATATGAGACACCTTTGATATAAGTTCTTCCATTAATTGATTTCTCTAGCTAGAGAGTTATAGATGAGTGGTAAATGGAGAAATAGGGTACAGTACTGCTAGGCACATAATATATCCATGAAAATATATAGTGGAAATGGTCAAACAGCTTACTCAAAAAAAAGACCATAGAAATTTTTTATGTCTTAACTCAAAAAAACCCAAACTCACTGCCATCAAGTCTTAGTCATTATAATATTTCAGTCTTGTAATTCTACTGGAGTTAGGTTCTCTGCAGAAAATGCAGTCTTCCAAATTGTTATTTTTTTCTATAATGCACTTAAAATCAAGCCAAAAATGTCCTCTTAAACAAAAAAGTAATAAGAATCATATTATGAGGATATTAAAGTTATTCAAAATATATCTTTTGCAAAAAATTTGTATGTGTGTGTACAAGTGCATGTGTGTATGGAAGATACAGAGGAACTATGTAGATATACATATATAATAGCAAATGCACATATAAAGGATCTATATAAATCACATTGCCTTGAAATATTTTTAAATTATATATAGTCCAACTTGAAAATGTTCATAATTTACACACAGTCAATAACAAAGAAAAGAGAGGTAATTATATACTTACCAATAAGTGGTGGAAGTTGAGGCATTGAAGGTATTTTAATGACTTCCAGAAGTTTTCCCCCAAGAATTGCACAATAAAAAAGAAGTAAAAGTCCAAATAAACTTCCACCAGGAAGAACTTTAGAGCCTGAGAATGACCAGATTACACACCAAAACATACACAGGATAACTCCTGAAATATAAAAACAAAACAAAAACATAGACCTATATATACACATAGACATATACATACAAAGGAGGAATTCTATTTATCACATATCATATTACTAGGCAGTCCTATATAATAATATGTCATGTATAATTTGCTAGTATGGTTGTACAGATATCTATTTAACATATATTTCAAAGCCCCTGTCAACTTATAGGACAAATTTTAAACAAAGTATTTTTCTGTTAAAAAATATTTAAAAACTATATGTGAATTCTTTAAAGTGCTGAACATTCTTCTTAATATATGACATTTTAAAAATATTGTGGCAATCTGTTGGAATTTATTTCATTATGTCATTTAAACTTGTTTTTCTATCAAGAACAAGAAGATGATTGTGGTAAGAATTCTCAGATTCACTGAAGTTCACAGTGGCAGTGTGTAGACTAGATCGTTATATTCAAAAGATAATTTAGTTGATATTTTGCATCAAAATATTTGAGGGACTAGGGAAAAAGGGGCTGTAATAGATTGAATTGTGCCATCCAAAAATATGTGTCAACTTGGCTGGGCCATGATTCTCAGTATAATATAATGAATCTCTATTTTGTGATTTGATTTAATTATCCTCTCTGTTGTAAACACTAATCTCTATAACATTAATGAGGCAGGATCAGAGGCAGTTATGTTATCAATTCAGAACACAATCTACAGGATTAGGTTGTATCTTGAGCCAATCTATTTTGAGATATAAAAGAGATTAACCAAGTGAGCAGGTATCAGAGGGACCTCAGCACACCCAAGAAAGAAGAGCCAGGAGAGGAACACACCCTTTGGACCCATGGACCCTGCACTGAGAACATTCTAGACACAGGAGAAGACTGATGCTAACTAACATCAGTGGAGATGGCCAAGGCAGGTAGGCCACAAGTAATGAAAAGAGATAAGGATCTTCTTTTAGAGCCAACAAAGAGAGGAAGTTTTCAGATGCCTTCTAAACTGTGAGGGAATAAATTTTGTTAAAGCCATCTAGTCGTGATATTTCTGTTATAGCAGTGTTAGATAACCAAGACAATAGCCTTTGGGAAATAAGTATTGTTGTTGTTAGGTGCCATCGAGTCATCTCCGACTCATAGTGACCCTATGAACAGCAGAATGAAACACCACCCATTCCTGAGCCAGCTCCATGATTCTTGTTATACTTGAGCCCATCACTGCTGCCACCATGTCAATCCATCTCATTGAGGGCCTTCCCCCTTTTTGTCAACCCTCCAGTTTACCAGGCATGACATCCTTCTCCAGGGAATGGTCCCTTCTGACAACATGACCAAAGTATGTGAGATGAAGTCTGGCCATTCTCGCCTCCAAGGAGGATTCGGCTGTACTTCCTCCAGGACAGACCTGTTAGTTCTTTAAGCAGTCCATGGTACATTCAGCATTCCTCACCAACACCACAGCTCAAAAGCATCAATTCTTCTTCAGTCTTCCTGATTCATTGTCCAGCTCTTACACGCATATGAGGTGATTGAAAGGTGCACCTTAATCCTCAAGGAGATATCTTTGCTTTTCAGCACTTGAAAGAAGTCCTTTGCAGCCAATTTGCCCATTGCTATATATCGTCTGATGTCCTGACTGCTGCTTCCATTGGCACTGATTGTAGAACCAAGCAATGTGAAGTCTTTGACAATTCCAATCTTTTCTCCATTTATCGTAATGCGGCTTATAGGTCCAGTTGTGAGTATTTTTGTTTTCTTTACATTGAGATGTAATCCATACTGCAGAATGTATTCTTCAAACTTTGTCAATAAGTACTTCAAGTCATCCTCACTTTCACCAAACAAAGTTGTGTTGTCAGTATATCACAGGTTGTTAATGATTCTTCTTCCAATCCTGATGCCGTGTTCTTCTTCATATAGTCCAGCTTCTCAGGTTATTTGCTCAGCATGCGATTGAATAAGTATGGTGAAAGGATACAACCCTGACACACTCCCTTCTTGATTTTAAACCATGCAGTGTTCCCTTGTTCTGTTCAAACAGCCTCCTGGTCTATGTTCCTCATGAGTATAATTAAGTGTTCTGGAATTCCCATTCTTTTCAATATTATCCACAGTTTGTTCTGTTCCACACAATCAAATGCTTTTGCATAGGGAATAAAACACAAGTAAACATCTTTTTGGTATTCTTTGCTTCGAGCCAAGATCCATCCAACATCAGCAATGATATCCCTCGTTCCATGCCCTCTTCTGAATCCAGCTTGCATTTCTGGAAGTTCTCTGTCAATATACTGCTGCAACCATTTTTGAATTATCTTCAGTAAGATTTTACTTGCATGTGATATTAATGATATTGTTCAATAATTTCCAAATCCAAAGATCACTTTTCTTTGGAATGGGTACAAATATGGATCTCTTCCACTCAGTTGACCAGGTAGCTGTCTTCCAAATCTCTGGGCATAAGAGAATGAGTGCCTCCAGTGGGGCATCTGTTTGTTGAAACATCTCAATGGGTATTCCTCAATTCCTGGAGCCTTGTTCTTCATCAATTCCTTCAGTGCAGCTTTGAGTTCTTCCTTCAATTCCATTGGTTCTTAAACATATGCCACCTCCCGAAATGGATGAAGACTGACCAGTTCTTTTTGGTACAGTGACTCTGTATTCCTTCCATCTTCTTTTGATGCTTCCCGCATCATTCAATATTTTGCCCATAGAATCTTTCAATATTGCAACTCGAGGCTTAAATTTTTTCCTCAGTTCTTTCAGCTTGAGAAATGCTGAGCA